ACAAATTATTTATTTTATTTAAATGCTGTCCAAAACTCAACAAGATTTTGCAAACATATTGACCATATTTTTCGACCTATAGATGCAACACTTCTTTACTTCAGAAGTAAGATTTAGAATTAAGAAATAAGAAAATAAGAGAGAATTATGAATAGAAAATAAATATATATGCTGGCTAGCAGAAGGATGCCTTCATAAAGTACTTTTTAAGAGAAACTGGCTCAGATTCACATTACATGTATGAAAAACCACAATAACTCTCATATAGCCATATAACCCTGAACTACCACTGTTCAGTGGCTTATCACTCCAACACTAGTGGATTCCAATGACTGTTCGAATTTTTCACAGAAATCATTATTTATGATGATTGTTGTATTATTACCATTGGTTATAATACAACAATCATCATAAAAGTTACTCATTATGATAATTTAATTTTAGCTTTTAAATTATAAACATAAATTACTTGTAATAAATTTAGGGATTTAAAAATACACACTTCTTAATATTTTTACCATTTACAAAATTTAATCATAAAAAGTATTTCTAATGCTGCTACAAAACTTGCTCATTATAATTTAATTTGATTTCCTTCACTTTGAAATACTTTTTTATTTTCTTTTAATAACAGAATCTAAGAAACTAAAGTAACGTATACAGTCAAAAGTCGTTAATTCGGACACCCATAATTCGGAATGATCTATAATCCGGACCTCAAAACTAAAAACTTTCTGCGCATGCGCCGCGTTGACACATGCGCATAGGCGTTTACGCGTGCGCGTAAGACCTTTTACGACTGCGCATATGAGTGTGCACAAGTGCAGAATACGTTTTCGCGTGCGCGTTTTATGTATAATAGACGTATAAGCTAAAATTATCTAATTATCTATTTCAGTTAATATTGATGATTGCGTTGTTCCTTAATTTTCGAATTGGATCCGGCTTATTATTTTTTGCAGACTGTAAGAGCAATTTTATAAAAGTAAGCTTAAACTTTCGATTATATCAAATAGAATTTCCGATATATATTTGTTAATATGTAAAGGATCTAAAGCGAAAGTATGTTTTGAAATCCGAAATCTGTTTATCAATTTCACACTGGGGGAACGCAACGGCGGGGGCGGGCGCGTAATGAATTGGAAGTTGATTTGTCAGCTCTATCCTTATCTTCAGCGCAGATGTTTTTATTTTATTTGGCTTATAATTCCTTACCAAATGTAGTATTTCATCTCCATATACTCCGTCTTTGATATGATTTAAAACAAGTTTCTCAACGAAAAAATTTCTATTGACAAATTAGTGGGTGTTCTTGACACAGCAATTATAGGACTAGAACAGCGGAACTTTGTAACTGAACAAGAAATTACGTCTGTTTAATAGAATTAAAGAGAAAGTATTATCACATGAAACGAAGCAAAACTTAAAAACAACTTACATTGAAAGAAATGTTTAATAAAGTAAACAAATAAATATTAAGCTTTTTCTTTTTGCAAATTTTGATACCCTTTAGATCATAATTGTTCTTTATTTCATAAATTACGGTTTCATATTTTTAATTTTAGAATTTCTGCATGCCATCTTACGAGATTTAAACTGATGATCTATAATCCGGAATCACCGAAGTCCCGACGAGTCCGGATTAACGACTTTTGACTGTACTACTAGTTTGAAATGCATTTATGAACCTCTTGTAAATTTCATTATTCATAACATAAAAATTAACCTTGTGTAAATTTTAAATATTAGCTAAGTACTTATATAATATAAATATTAACTAACTACTTAAAATATTAATGTTTAATACATTAATGTTGTGTAATTTAAAATATTAACCTTTTGTAAATTTTATTACTCATAACATAATCACTGCCATAAATTCATTTACGGTAGTGTTTCAAGAATTTATCATAGCAGTACTAGAAATGTTGAAAATTAGAGAAAGACTGTTTATTCTGATTAAGAGCTTATTTTTTAGGATTGTTATTTAGTCTAAACTTTATAATATGGCAGCAAAAAGTAAAAATTTTTTTATTTTAATGTTATTTTTTAAATATATTACCATTATAGACTAGAAGAGACTAGACAGATTGTCAACAAAACCCGATGGGGGTTTTGTTGACAATCCGCCATTTTTTTCCGATCTTCAAAGCCTGGCGACTGAAGTTTGTCGCCAAATCAAAAAATCGCCAAAAGGACCAATACTAAAGCTGTCCCATTTTTGTATATTGTGTTCTATAATAAGAGTCTGTGTGTATCTTTTGTTCGTGCTGTGCATAAGCTAATAGACCCAAGGCTACGAAATTTGATACATACGTAGGTGCATCTAGACTAGAGGCAGTGCACCTTGAAGCAATATTTTTCAAAATTCAAATCAGTTTTTCCTTTTTCTAATACAACTCGAGTTTCTGAGCAAGAAGTGAAACATTTCAAAATTCTTTTTTCTAGTGAAGAGCAACTTTTCACTTGGGGATGCAAGCTTTTTTATTAAACGGTTCTAAATTTGGCGACTTATCAACACTTTGGAGATTTTAAGATCAGTTTCTATAGAAAATTTTTAATTCTGAGATCTGGGAATTTTTCGACTACTTTTCTTTAAACATTGTAACATTGATAAATTTCATTAACATAATGGTAATATCGAAATTGTAAAAACAAGCTTGTATTTAGCATAGGTATAATGAAACACTCAATCGATTTCGAGGGCAGCTAAAGGTCCCTCCTCATCAGGAGAAAAAAATACCTAGAAAGAAGAAAATAAAGGAGAAGGAGTCACAGAAACACGTCTTCTTTCTCCTGATGAGGAAGGACCTTTAGCTGCCCTCGAAATCGATTGTTTCATTATACCTACGTTAAATACAAGGTTGTTTTTACGATTTTGATTGTCATATTAGCGTGTTTCTCTTCTAGTCTATAATGGTAATATATTTAAAAAATAACATTAAAATAAAAAATATTTACTTTTTGCTGCCATATTATAAAGTTCAGTTTTGGCTACTTATACAGCATTTTGAATATGAAAAATAAACAGCGTATAATACTAGTCAAAAGTCGTTAATCCGGACTCGTCGGGACTTCGGTGATTCCGAATTATAGATCATCAGTTTAAATCTGGTAAGATGGCATGCAGAAATTACAAAATTAAAAATATGAAACTGTAATTTATGAAATAAAGAACAATTATGATCTAAAGGGTATCAAAATTTACAAAAAAAAAAAGCTTAATATTTATTTCCTTACTTTATTAAACATTTCTTTCAATGTAAGTTGTTTAAGTTGCTTCATTTTTTATGTGATAATACATTCTTTTTAATTCTATAAACAGACATAATTTCTTGTTCAGTTACAAAGTTCCACTGTTCAAGTCCTATAATTGCTGTGTCTAGAATACCGACTAATTTGTCAATCGAAATTTTTTCGTTTTCAATAACCTCTGTCACTTTCTTCGCTATCTAAAGTGAATTATAATGACGAGGAATTTGATTTAAATCATATCAAAGACGGAATACATCGATATGAAATACTACATTTAGTAAGGAATTATAAGCCAAATAAAATAAAAACATCTGCCCTGAAGATATAGTGCTGACAGATCAACTTCCAATTTATTACACGCCACGGTATTAAAGATAAACAAAGGATATGCCTTTATCCACTTTTTGTTTAATGGACTTCGAAGCATACTTTTGCTTTGTAGATCTTTTACATATTAGTAAATATATATCAGAAATTCTATTTGACATAATCGAAAGTTCAAGCTTACTTTTATAAAATTGCTCTAACAGTCTGCAAAAAATAATAAGCCGAATCCAATTCGAAGATTAAAGAACAACGGAATCTGCAACATTAACTGAATTAGATAATTTTAGCTTAGCTTATACCGTCCGTTATACATTAAACACGCATTCGTAAACGTATTTTGCGCACACGCGTATTCGCAGCCGTAAAGGCCACCGCGACGCATGCGCAGAAAGTTTGTAGCTTTGAAGTCCGGATTATGGGTGTCCGAATTAACGACTTTTGACTGTATAAAGCACAATTTGCAAACAAGTTCTTGGTAAAAGCAAAATAGCTATGTAATTAATTGAAAATATCTTTTTAGATTTTTCATGGTAAGAGATTTTCCGATGTATTTGTCTCCAAATATTCGTCAGTTTTCTCTATAAAATTAATTTTATTGTTTTCCCCTATTTATTTTCACAAAATATTTCTGCCCTTTTTGCTGATGGAGAATTGATAGGGTAATTTTCCTTTAGGATTTTAGACATTGCTGCTTGGAAAGTAGTAGGATTTGAAGTCAATATTTATAGACCCACGATTCTAGAAGATTCCTAAAAAATGTGACAAAATGAAAAATGTCTCCATGGTATAAACATGTAATAAATGAACTTGACAGAAAGTTTGTGGTGAATTTCTTACAATTTGGGGAATTTTTGGAAGGACAAAGAAAGCATTACTAAGAGTCCTTTTTTTTAACATGTTTATCTTATGTATATTTTCTAGAATTTTTACTTAACACAAGTATGGAAAACATCAACATTATTTATCTTATCACATGGACAGGCATTATAGAAAGGAATTTTTTATTAATAAAGAAATTGAAACCTGACAATTTAAAATGTTCATCTAATATGTCTTAATGCATCATACACAGCGTTGGCACTAGACATTTTCCCATGTGATACAATCTCTGAATGAATTCTAAAAGTTTTAACACACCAGCTCTGTAGCTGGGCTTTGCGATATATATTTCATATTTCTTCTGAATTTTCATATTACTAAAGAATAGCTTTTTCTATACATTCTAAATTCATTTTTTAGGATGACGGAAATCTTTAATTAAATCCAAAAATTCTAAAAGGAAACTTGTTGAAGAAAGACACTGAATACATAAAGAAAATAATTTCTTCAAAAATATGTGCAGTTATTATGTAAATTACCCCATTGTTATCATTTACAGTTTTATATCCTGTTCTCTAAGCTGACATTTTCTTTTTCAGTGGAGTAGAAGCTAAACAGCCTAATTCTGCCATCAGAAAATGTGTAAGAGTTCAGTTAATTAAGAATGGCAAGAAAATCACAGCTTTTGTACCTAGGGATGGTTGTTTAAATTTCATTGAGGTAATTGAATTTTCTTTTTAATTTAATTATTTGTAGTTTGTTTAAATATGTCTTAAATAAAAGAAAGTGTATTAAAAATCTTTTTTTTTTTTTTCATCAGCGCAGACTTTGTTGGCGACATGTATACACATAAAATTTTAGTTCTAAGAATTTTTGGTTGATCTTTGGGTTATGGTAACTTGGCGAAAACTTGGCGACCAACTCTGCTACAGCAACCCTCTATTTTTTTTTTTTTTTTTGCCGCAAGTAAAGACATGTTTCTTTTCTTTTTATTTACTGAAAACTTTTTCCAACAATCTACTAGCCAAATTACACTTATGTTAGAAATTTTATGTAACAAAACTGCTTAATCATGACAAATATTAATTGCAAAATTGGGAAAAAGTGCACAATCGCCAACTCTTTGTGCGTTTTTCAGAATAGCACATACACATAAACCATTTACACGTCGACTTATTTTTACTTAAAAAAGCATCCCAGAATTGCACAAAAATGGCATTGCATACACTCTTAACTTTATCCATCTACACTGCTATTTTCTCATAAATTACAAAAATTTGCACGAAAAAACAAAAAAATTCTGTGAATCTTTAAACTTGGTAAAAAGCACATATATGAAATTACCTGATCGCGAAAAAGTATATACCCTTTCCAAGGATGAACATTTCCACGTGTAAAATAAATAAAATATCCGAAAACTTTTACATCTAAATTATCTATTATATTATAAACGTTACCAACGAATTTATACCACAAACATTAAAAATGGTTACAAATACTTAGTGTCGAATATTTAAATTACTTTCATGCACGTTTACTTCAACTGAAATGTATACCAAATTCCTACAAACATAAAATTAACAAAATAACTATCATTTAATTAAAATATCACTAAACCATGTACACGTCGACTTACTTTTTACTTAAAAAAAATCACAGAATTGCACAAAAATGGCATTACGTACAGTCTTCCCTATATCCATGTACACTGCTTTTTTCTCATAAATTAGAAAAATTTAACGAAAATGCATGAAAATACTCAACGTATTCCAAAATACTACAAACATATAACTCACAAAATCACGATCATTAAATTAAAATATAATTAAATTAAAAAACACTCCTTAAAATATAAGCACATACATTAAATTAATAAAAATTAGATTACAATCCTAATTACTTTAAACTAAATCATTGCTAATAACAATTTTCCAATAATACCATATTAATTTATTTACTCCTTACATTTAGAACAATGCATAAAAATAATATCCTCAAATGATTAAGAATACTAACTTGCCTAATCTTAAGAATCTTCATTACATGGCATGCACACTTCCACTATTTCACACAACACACAATGAAGCTTAATACAAAATAATATAGTACTACAGTTTTCCAAATTCCCCCCCTTTTCCGATTAAAGAACTGTAATTCGTCCATTAATGTCACATGACATATCTCATGATCTCTCATTTCCCTCACACAAAATAATGCGTAATCGGAACTGAGTATTTCTCACATTATTACCAAAGTCCTAGGTAGTAACCTTTATCGCCTCCAAAATGTCGCCAAACTACCAGTTACCATATTCCAAAGATCAGCCGAATTTTTTATTTTGAAGGCATAAACATATTAATATGATTTAAAATTTTGTAAAAAAAGCCAATAAATAAAGACAAATTTGTAAAAAGACATTAATTTAAGAATTTACTATGCTTTCATAGTTCAACATCCTGATTCGCCGGTTCATATCACGTGATCCAAAGTGATCTCATCTCATGTAAACTACGCTGCAAAAATATAATTCTCTCAGTAATTATCTACATTAGTTTCAAGTTAAATCTTAATTTGGAATACAAGTTTAACTGCAAGAATTATTTCAGTTTGTACGAATAGCTTAATCAAAAATTATGTAAAACCGCAGTGTTTCACTTTAGTGCATTCTCATTAGAATTGATGGATTTAACCCTTAATTTTGCCTTTCCTATTTTTCGGGCGAGTGATGTGATTGTATCCTAATTGACTTAATTACCGCAAATGGTCTTAGGGTATAAAATTGAACTATCTGGTAAAAATTCTGTGTAATTGTATGCCAGTATTATTGAAAGAAACAATCAATCTGATAAGAAACGGCTTCAACTTATTTTGAAAATGAAGCATAAAAGGTTACCAGCATAGATATTCTATTTGGCATCAGTTGTGCCATTATTGGCAACTTTATCGTTTACGTCGGCAAAAGGGAAAAGTACCGAATTTTCTTTTAAACAGTATTCTGCATATTAAAAGTCACTTTTTCTTTGGTTAGATAATAAAACCTTACTGAGTTTATGAAACTTGTATTGGCATTCCATTAGAAAAAAATTATGTTAATATTTTGCTACCTGGCCATTTAGTGATTTAATATTCATGTGAGATATTCAGTATGAATGTTGTTAAAATATGCTGTATAAAATTATTTAAACTGTTATAAAGAAAAAGATTTTCTTAATTTATAAAGAATGTGCTCTTGTAATTATATTTTATATGAAGATTATCAAAAAAAACCTAAATTTGAATCTCAATATTCATCACATTAAAATAGCAGCTTACTGCATTTTGCTATTTCATTTATGATCATTTCCTTTTTTTAAGTCATTAATATCTGTTAGTATACTAATTTAATTATTTAATATAATTTTCAAAAGTATGTCAACTGTACTACTGATTTTATTCCTGTGACATATTTAATGCAGCATTTTATTGTGGATATCAGTTTAAGAGTTTTATAGATTAGAGAACATTTTACTTGAATAACATGACCAATTGTTGTTTTTTATTAATATGTAAATTCATTATCATGCTCTTGTATGTAGTTTAACGAGCCAGCCAAAACAGTGAGCACAACCACGCGTGCTAAGTAATCTAATATAGTATGCTGATGATCATCTATAATTGATTGCATTGTGCTTAATTTTTTTCATTGTTTCCAAAGCTAAATTTTGTTATATGCATAATTTTGTGTAAATTGTCATAACTATTATTTTTTAATTGCAATATTTTATTGTCTAATTTTCATTACAATGAATTCTACTATAATAATCATTATATATCTTTCGTATCTTTGAACTAAAATATAAAGGTTGCTATTTATATTTCTGGCCTAATAATAAAAAAAAAGTGTTCATGTTCAAAATTGTATTGTTTTTCAAAATATTCTTCGGTTAATCTTTGGATTATGGTAACTTGGCGAAAATTTGGCGACCAACCCTGCTACAGCAACCTGCTAGTTTTTGTTTGGACGCCATTTTGTTTTCAAGAAGTAAAGGTTTTTTTTTTTTTACTCAACATTTTTCTCCAACAGTCTGCTAGCCGAATTACGCTTATGCTAGAGCTTTTATGGAACAAAAGCGCTTAATCATGATGATTAGGTGCGAAATTGGGAGAAAGTGCAGAATCACAAACTGCTTGCCGCGTTTTTAAGAATTGCACATACACTGTAACCATGTACACTTCGACCTGTTTTCACTTAAAAAAAACATCCCAGAATTGCACAAAAATGGCATTGCACACACTCTTGACTTTATCCATGTACACTGCTTTTTTCTCATAAATTAGAAAATGCAGGAAAATTTTGTGAATCTTTAAAGTCGGTAAAAAGGACATATATGAAATTACCTGATTACGAAAAAGTATATACCCTTTCCAAGGATGAACATTTGCACATATAAAATAAATAAAATATCCAAAAACTTTTCCCTCTAAATTATCTATTATAAACGTCATCTGCGAATTTATAACGCAAACGTTAAAAATGGTTACAAATACTTATTTTCAAATATTTTAGTTATTTCCATGCATGTTTACTTCTACTGGAACATATTCCAAAATGCTACAAACATATAATTCACAAAACCACTATCATTTAATTAAAATATAATTAAATTAAAAACACTACTTAAAATATAAATAAACACATACATTAAATTAATAAAAATTAGCTTAAAATCTTAATTACTTTAAACTAAATCATTACTAATAACAATTTTCCTATAATACCATGTTAATTTATTTATTCCTTGCATTTAGAACAATTCATAAAAATAATATCAAATGATTAAAAATACTAACTTACCTAAGTTCAATCGGTTGCAGTACTACTGCTAATTTCTAAATCCGAAATCCAGTAGTCAACTGGCAGTCTATTCACCCAGTAGTAAGAAATTAATAAAATTTCACCCATACTCAAACGACTTTCAACAAACCACGTACTCTTCCTTACAGTCCGGTTCACAAAATGTCCATTTTCACCAGATTTCTTGCACCGCCATTCAAACTTATCTGTAATATCCTTCCTTTCACACAATCTCATTTCATTCCCACATGTTGGACATTCATACTTATCCGCAATTAATCCTACACTCGTACACCATTCAAGCAATTCTTTTGGATTATCAGATAAACGCAATAAAAATTTCGAATTCACTTTAGATAGGGCCATGAGATCCAAAAATTAAGCAATACTGTTTCACAACACACAATGAAGCTAAATACAAAATGCTATAAAGTACTGCAGATATTTTTCCAAATTTCTTTACTTTTCCGATTAAAGAACTGTGATTCGTCCATAAATGTCACATGACATATCTCATGATCTCTCATTTCTCACACAAAATAATGCGTAATTGGAACTGGGTACTTCTCACATTATTGCCAAAGTCCTAGGTAGTAACCTTTATCGCCTACCAAAATGTCGCCAATCTGCCTTTTACCATATTCCAAAGATTAGCCTATTCTTCATGAAGATTAATACACTTTTGCATGCATTTCAAGTAGTTTTTCCACTCTGATTAAGGTAACTCCGAAACATGCATTTTCAATGCATCAACTGCTTCTTCAGGTGTTACAAATCGTTGACCATGTAATTTATTTTTGATGTGCAGAAATAAAAAAAGTCATTGGGTGCCAAATCAGTGCTGTACGACAAATGACAGTTGATGTTTTGTTTCGTTAAAAATTCCTTTGTTTGAGCTGATGTGTGAGACCTCGCATTGCCGTGGTAAAGAATGATTCGTCTCTTCTTTTTACAAATTTCTCCTTTGACTTCTGGCAAACAAATGATGTACTATTTGGAATTGACTGTTCTGTGTTGCTCTAACGTCACTGTCGAGACGTGACTGGTAATGCCAAAGAAGCAGGCAACCATTCCCTTCCATGTGCTTCTTCCACGAACAGCTTTTATTGGATTGTCTTGGAAGCGGCATAAAGTGGACTGGCTTTTTTTTTTTTTTTTTTTTTTCCCCTGAGACTCATATGCATAGATCAATGATTCATTTGCCTGTGTAGATGTTTTACACACAGCCTTTGTACAGTGCTGTATGATTGTGCTTTATCGCTTTAAAAGAATTAAGTTTCATTGAACCACTTTTATCTCGATGATCCACGTCAAAAGTTATGGAAATTAATCACATGAAAATATTCATGATTCAATTTTATTTTTTGCCCGAATTGAATTTTCAATTTACTGTAAACAACAGAAATCACGCTAAAATGACAAATGTTCTGAAGAAGTTATAAGTTAGGGTTTAAAATATCAAACTTTCGATTGGAATCATCTGTGGTCGTCTAACAACACTTAAGCATATTCTGATAAAATCACCCGATTTTTGAGTGTCATAGTATGCATACATATGTAATGGTCTCCAAATCGGTTTAAATTTGATGTGGTACATGTCTGAATGGCGTTATTCCATCCCCCTTAACATAAAGATCCAGATCATGAATGCTAAGAGGAAATAAAAATATTGTTCAAGATAACTGTATTCATGCTCAAGTTTATGAGCGAACTTTTCATGTACATCCAATAAAACTGGTATATATGTGCCATAAGAGAGTCTGGATGTATGGTAAGTAATATTTATCCACATTAAAACTCTTAAAACCGATTCTGATTTCTCTTCTGGTAGAAGCTTATTGTTATTACAGAGTTGCCAACTCTCCCGATTTAGGCGGGAGACTCCCGATTTTCGACCGCTCTCCCGCCAACCCGATTTACAATATATTTCTCCCGACTTTTTCTTATTCTTAATATTTCTCACGATTTTTATGGAACTTGGCTTAATACTTCGTTATATGAACAAAAAAAAGTGGTTTTGGACGTCTGAAAGCAACTGAATTTTCTCTAGATTATATCTAAAATGAAACCTTTCAGATGAGAATTTCTGCTTTGTGATTGACAGCATACATATCCAGAAACGTCGTTCTCCAGTTGTCCAATGGGCATCGAGCTCCACTGCGTGTCATCTGGCATATATTAGCCAATGAGCACAAAGCAAGCTAAAGGCCGTTGGCCGTTCTTTGGATGTTCTTTCTCTATTTCGTTCATCGTGTCCTGAGTTGTGTAAGTACACGTGCCTTTAGGAAATAGTTTTAGAAATTATCGTCTTTTGATATGTCTGCGAGAAAGGTGAAATACTCGTGCACGTTTCAAAAATCATACACAGTTGACTTTCCTTCCATTATTTCTTCAAGGAAATGTAATAAATTTGCGAGGTGTACCATCTGTCGTTTCGATTTCGCTTGGTGGAAGGGCAGATGTTCTCAAACATGTGCATACACAAGGATAACATGAGTTGTTTTGAAAAAACGAAAAATTAAATTTTTCTTCGGAAACAAAAGACCAAAAAGTGATTAATGCAGAATGTCTGTTCTCTGCCTTTTTACTGGAGCACAACCTGCCACTGAATGCATCGGATCACGCTGCAGCTTTATTTAGAAAAATGTTTCCCGATAGTGAAATCGCTAAGAAATACTTAAGTGCAAGGACCAAAACAGGTGCAATTGTTAAAGAAATGGGTCTGAAAAATAAATCTTCAGTTATTGATTGCATTAAAACAGCTCCGTTCTGCCTCTCTACGGATGGAAGCAATAATACCAATTCAAAACTGTATCCAATTGTTGTTTCTTTTTTTAATCCAGAGTCTTCAGAAATTGAGTGCAGTTTACTTTCTGTCCCCACTTTAGAAGGACATTCGACAGGCTTTAATATAGCACAGCTAATTATTAAAACTTTAAAATAAAATGCAGTCCCTCTGGATAATTGCTTAGCGCTTGGTGCCGATAATGCACCAGTAATGGTAGGCTTGAAAACTGGTGTTGCAGGCATCTTAAGAAAGGCAAATTCAGATTTGCAGATTATGAGGTGCACCTGTCACCTCTTAAATTTAGCAGCTGAAAAAGGGGCAGATTCTTTACCATTAAATGTGGATGAACACATTGTTGATATTTATTATTATCTTGAAAGGAGTTCTAAAAGAAAGGAAAAATTGAAACAGTTCCAACAGCTGCATAATACTGAAATGAGAAAAATTTTAATTTTTTGTAATTTCTGCATCATTCAGCAATTCAACTGGCAGTTCTCAAAATAATACTGCAAAATATAAGCGTAAAGCTGATACACATTTCTCTCAAAATAATAATAAAAAAAAAAATTGCTCAACACACGAAACATTTTCCGATTACTGTAAGTTTAACTTGTGAAGAATGAATATTTATGTTTTTTTCTTCGAACCTTAACAAAGCTTTTTGCTTTTTTTTTTTTTTTTTTTTTTATATATATATATATATATATATATATATATATATAATTCATTTTGCCATCATTCGATGTTCTGAACACAATTATACAAAGCAGAATTCCATTAATTCATGTTTTGCAATCAATGATTTATGATCTGTTTAAAGACATTTTATCAAAGTTTGTAAAACCAGTCTGTGTTTTGTCTTGTAATTCTATATATGATGTGATTTATGGTGAAACAGAAAATCAGAAGGAAGATGAAGATTTGGTAATAGGAGCTGCAACTACAAAAGTAGTGGAAGAACTTTCAGAAGACAAAAATAAGTTTTATCTTCATGTTAGAAATTACTTCTGTCGAGTATGTGATTACACACTACATAAATTTCCAGTCAACGATGAAGTGATTTTGCATGCTAAAGTTGCTGATGTTTCTGCTCTAGCAAATGCATCTTTTTTTATATAAGGTACTTTTTGAACTGATTTCCTGTGTTACTTCGTTTAGTCATGAAAGATGATGATATTGATGTTGCTACTGATATACTGCAGTCGCAATTTTGCAGTTTACAATTAGAAAACTTGGATGAAGTTATAAAATCAGCTAGGATTGACACCCAGTGGAGGTTAATTGGAAAATTGAAAGGTGCTGATGGAATTTTAAAATATAGTGAACTCTCTAGAATTATGTTGGCCATCTTGACAGTTCCCCATAGTAATGCAGTGTGAGAGGATTTTCAGTGTTGTTGCGAAAACGAGGACTAAATTTAGATCTAATATTAGTGATGACACATTAGAAAAACTTTTATTAGCGAAAGCAGGCCTACGTGGCAATTGCTATGAACAAAATTATGAAGTTTCTTTCTTAACGAGAGCAAAATCTGCCACTGCCCATAACATTTGTATGAAAACTGATTAAAGTGCCTTTTTTTTTTAAACGATGAAAGTAATAAAAATGTTTTTTATGTCTAAGGTATTTTTGTTTTGCTTGCATTTAAGACTTAGTAACTATTTAAATTCATTATTAAAAACTATATTTTTATCATTTAAAAAGTCTTTTTAACATTGTGAAAATTCTCCTGATTTTTGAGTGTCATAGGTTGGCAAGTATGTTATTATTAAACATTTTGAATTTCTGGAACATTTTCATCTAATTTGCAACAAAATTTACAGATATGCTGTTCTTTCACTTAGCCATTTTTGACATCACAAAAAATTTCGAAAAGATTGTGCAAAGTACTTTTACTTCTAAGTAAAAAAAGAAAAAAATATTTACTTGTTAATGTTTAGTATTTCTCTAAACTTTTGAGTAAAATCTACTAGGATGCTTCTAATTATTGTTTTTTTTTCTTTTTTTTTCTTTTTTTTTTTTTTTTTTTTTTTTTTTTTTTTTTTTTTTTAATGCATTTATGTGAAACTCACTTTCTGTTATGTTAATATTTTAAAGCTAATCTTGCTTGTCTTTTTTATTCTTTGTGACAGGAAAATGACGAAGTATTGGTTGCTGGTTTTGGTAGAAAGGGTCATGCTGTAGGTGACATTCCTGGAGTTCGTTTTAAGGTTGTCAAAGTTGCTAATGTATCCCTCTTAGCTCTGTATAAAGAAAAGAAAGAAAGACCGAGATCATAAATGATGGAAGAGAAAAAAATAAAATCTCTTGTTTAAAACATTGTGTAGTTTTTATTGCCTTGTACTCATTCTGTTTAGTTATAGTCATAAAGTGATTGAAGACAGTTTTCTATGTTGAGGGTGACCAAACTTTATGTGAGTAGGAACTGCATAACAGAATTTGGGAAAATTGATTATCTGTGACTAAATATTCATATTTTGAAAACAGTAAAGTGTTGGATCAGATATTTCCTGTAATTTTAACAATACTTATTTTATTTTGATCATGGTTTATTTAGTATAAAGTTTCCTTGTTTATACTTCAGTGAATTTTTTTCAAGGCAGAAAACCAAAATTCTACTGGTTTCTCCAAAAAGAAAATAATTACCAACTAATTTTAATGGGAGCAAATAAAGCAAAACTTAATATTTATTATTTGATTTGCAAATTAAGGGAGCAGCTGTCTTCACAATGAGATGAGTGAAACAGAAAACCACCAAGTGGAGAAAGTGCAGTTTGTATGAAAATGTTTGTTAAAATTTTCAACATAGTGGGTATTTTGAATAAGTATAATAATTTTTCTACACAATTATTATGATAGTAAGTGCATAAAGTATTAAGCTTATAAGATATTTAGTGAATAGAGATAAAATATGGAATGGAAATTAAGAGTCTGGCAGCTGATGCAAAAAAAAAATATTGAATGCAGGTTTATTAAATCATTAACCAGAGACATTATCAAATACAGTTTGTTTCTTCCATTAGAATGAATGAAAGTAAAATATATATGTATTATCAACACGTTGAGTGTGGCGCCGAATTTGCTGTCCTTTCCGTTCAGCCGGCGGCGAGCTAAGTTGTATTTTTGTTTAGAATGTTTCAATACATTTCATTAAAACTAAATTTGATCACATTTCATTGAGACTATATATATTTAACTTTAATACTGTTGGTTCCGTGGACTGACGGCAGCCAAACGAAAATTCTGGGGATTAACGCCGGCCACACAGAAAGTTCACTGCCGTGCTCAGCGAGTTAGCACAGTATCATGCTGTGCAGTCCTGGTGATCCTTGCTTGTCCTAAAAGTAGTGTTGCTTTGGATGTAAATGATGAAATTTACTGTAATTTTTTTTAAGGTTATGTTGGTGTACAATTTCTGTTTTAAGGTGGAATGACACTCCAAAATTAAAACTTCAGTATAAGTCGCATTTAAGGATACTTAATACTGTAGATTGACTGTTCCTGATTTATACGTTTCTGGGCTGTAAGTTCTCTTAACCCATCAGAAGACTCATCAGGGAAAGTTACTAGAGTTGGGCACGTGGGATATCATACCCCAATGTTTAAAATATGTTAAAAACAGTTTTATATTATTTTAAAGCTATTTTTCTTTCATAATACGTAACAAAAAATTAATTTCCAAAATAAGCTTATAAGCATTAAAATTCAGATAAATGAAAATAATAAAATTAACATACCTCTAAGTTTTATTGCATCTCTAATATGCAATGCTTATTTTATTTGTTTACACTTTGAATAAAATGCATGCATGTGTTCTTAGAACAGAAAGTTTTCACATTTTAAATATCACACTCGCATTCTTCTGTCCTTGGCTAGAGGGCATTCATCACATCTTTTATACTTAGTTGCTTCGAATTTCATATATTCGTTGAATGATTCCTCAAAACTTCTGCTCTTTTGCATGCAGTACGCAAGTTCCTCATTAAAGTATTAATTTCAAATAGTTGTTCAATATACCTCTTTTTACTAATTGTAATGCTAAGTCCCTCAAAAACAGACATCTACTACTGTATCTGGTTTGTGGATAAGCATTTATTCAGTACAGAAAAGAAAATTACGATAACTTGCTGGCATTTTCTTTTCTCCAATAGTATCATCTGGTTATGTAATGGTGAAAGCATAAGAACAGTTTTTCTTTTTTTAGGAACATGAGAAATTAATGTTTTATCTTTTTCGAAGCCAAACAATGTGGAAAATAATCCAGTTTTCAAAATGCAATCTTCATCACTTTCAAACATTTCTAATAAATCTCACAGCTGTTGCATCTTCTATTCATAGGGAGTCATTTTTGCCATAATACACATAAAAATCTTTTAATTTCAAATACTTTAGAATTGTTTGAGAGTAGAAATATTCAATTGGAAAAACACTTTTGTGTGGAGTGCGTATCCCAGTTGCAATAAAATGTGTATAAATCTTTTATCTTTATTTATTTTTTTTTTTTACATTTCTGAAATATACTGGCAATGGAAAGTGGTTTTGAAAGTCATTCACTACTGAATGCAGCACAGAATTCCAGTGTCGCAAGTTAGGAATATTCCACGTTTTTGTAGAATTGTAATTTTTAGTCAAACATTATATCTAGTACGTGAAAAATTAAGAATTTTTAGGAACCTACTTTTAATTCAGATTTCTTGGAAATTAAATCTCTTTCAAATGTAAGCTGAAGAAAACTAAAAAATAGTCTAAAGCAAATTGCACCAAATTCTTTTAGAAAAAGGTAAACCATTTTCTAAAAAATTATCTTAGATAATCATCTCTGCCTGAAGTAGTAGATAAAGTACATTTAGAATAATTGTTTAACCATTTGAAGGGCCCCTGCTGTTTGTCAGTTTTTTAACCTCCTAAAAAATGCTAATTTTTCGACATCGAAAGCTATAATCTTAAGTTTCTAGCGTTTCCTTTCGATTCTAAATGGCAGCACCACGCTATGAATGTTCAATATTTTGCAGTTATGAAATTAATATACCTTGATCCAAGGTATGTTTAAAGATTGATAAATTTTATTGGAGAGGAAGAAAGAATTCAAAATCTGCAAATATATAACATACACATGCTGAATCATATATATTTACTTCGTTTCACTCAGAAATGATAATTAACAGATTATTTATACGATTTTAAAACTGGTATATAATATATACCGGCGCCCACACTGAGGGTACCACGCCAATAGATGGCAGCACCAGTCTTCTCCTTTTCTACTCTGACATGACAGAATTTCATTATTATAACAGTTTATGATGTAATAATTTTTCATGATTAATTTATAAGTTGTTTAGGATTCAATATTATGCTCATGAAGGATGGGGAGTTTACTAGTACGTGAAACGTACTAGTCTGCGCTAGGACTGAATACAAGTATATTAGTTTCATTTATTCTTTGTTTACTCAGCTCGAGTTTCATTCGTCTGCGTTTAGCTAAAATTTTTATTTCAGCCCTTTCCAAAGAGAAAGACTCATCGATTTCAAAATTGCCTTCTGGGGTCAAAACTTTACACAATTGCAGGGTTAAATGTGCCTTGTTAGGCCCCAAAAGACACCCCTTGCTTCGTGTTTTCCAAAATCCTAGAATGCAAGAAGAATGAAAAGAGGTGATTGACAAATAAATTTGTTATTCGGGCGTCACGCCTTCTTCCCTTTCTGCTGTGATAAGATCAAAAAGGGAAAGCTCACTTAAAGTGGAAATGCACCTAAGGTCCACCTCATAGTGTAATCACAAAAACTGCTGATTTGAAAGTGTGCTTTTATTCTTTAGGATAGTTCTATGTTAATTTCAGATGAAAGACTAGAGAACACAAGAGAAATTTGCCCTCTGTTAGATACAAATAGTTTGTTTCCGAAATAAATGTTCACAGTTGGTGAAAGGAGGGAAAATATTTCTAAGGCCCGTCTCAGATGCAAAATAAAACTCATCCAAAAGTTGAAAAGGAGCCTCTAGGAAGCTAAAGGGGATGAAACTCGAAATAAGAGCTGGGAGGTATATCAAATAATGAAATTCTTTAACGGCGTTTCTTCCTGAGCAAAACGATGTATTACAACCTATATTTACAAAAAAATAGAAAAGGACCTTTACGGTCCATGATGATCTAAAGTGCGTGTTCGTGGAGGAGGGATGATTCTTCGTATGATAGCATGAAGCATAGTTTTTTCACATATTATCTGCATAAGGTATAACTTCAAAAATGCAACATGCTTTCTTAGTGTTTCATTTTTTAATTTTCCGCTGAGTTACATCTGCTTGTAATATTGTACTAGATCAGTTACAGAATGATACGATTTACGCATGCAGTGTTATATTTGGCTAAACGTTTTTATGAAATACTGAATTTAAATCAAGCTGAAAAGCTTTTTACCCAAGTTTTACATAAGTATGCTCAGCTGGGGCATAAAAACAAATTTTATTTTTTAAATTTCTACCGAAATTTTAAAAGTTTCCATCTTCAGACTTAATATATTCAAGCACTCATCTTTACAGACGCACATCAAAAGTACGCAAAATTAATTTTAAAACAAAAATTAACAATTGGCAGCTACCTGGAAAAAAAAATGTCTTAGAGGGGCACCGGTATAAAATATATACCGGCTCTCAAAATTCAGAATTTCGCTCTAGATTTTTTTTTTTTTTTAGTCTCAATTTTGTGTCCTTAGGGTCCATAAGTTATGGTTCATGAAAATTTTTACCACAATTTAAATTATTTTATATACTGCCCCTCAAAGGGTTAAACATCGAAATTATGTCGTATGTAACTAATTTAATACATTTGTTACAATATCTGCACAGGGCGAGAAACTAGTTTTTCAGTTTGTTGCTATAATGTTATAGCTTGTGGGAAAGGACAATTGATCTTTTAAATGAAATTAACATGTACTTTCGTGTGCAAAATTAAGACATTTTTGAAAGTTGTATGTAATTTTACAAAAAGTATAGAATCAAAGATATCAGTTATGCAAATATTCAGAGTCCAACGTAAGCGGAACTGTGGTTGTAGAGGATGTAAACGTGGGAGTTTTCGGCAATATGACTTTAAACATGTTATCGATAATTTACTATTTGGACTTTAATATAAGTTGCCACAATGTTAACAAAAATTGAATGCAGTGTCATTCTATTAAGGTGATACGTTAAAAAGCGTAACGTTTCTCTCAGCATTCATATGAACAACCAAACACTCCCAGTTAGTAACTTAAATAGTATGGAATCATGTTGGATGAGCGGTTCGGTTTTAAACAGTATATTATGTATGCAGTTAGTAAAGCAAGTGTGACCTATATGTTTACATACAACTTAATTGGTCTTAAAATTAACCTAAAAGGTGAAGAGAACTGTTGCACTTATCCGCCCTATTCTTTTCTACGGAGCTCTAATTTGGGCAACCGTTTAAATCTGAAAATTTTTAGGATTTTTTTTATTAAAGTATTTTCAAAAAATTAAAAACTAATGCTGTCTAATTATTCTTATATGAATGATTTGAAAAATTTTTAATTTCTATCATCTGTAGTTTTGAGAAATTCTTAAATGCATAGCTAGTGATTCGAGTAACTTCTTTCAAAAATATCTGATCGAAAGCTACTCGCTTATCTTTGCAGGTTAAGTTTGTGCAAGTCGTACCTTTTAAACATTAGGCATAATATCACGTTAACTGCGCCTGTTCCGGAAAAAAGAATTACCCCTGTCAACCATAGTTTTCACTTCCTGGTAGTATTTGTGAGGAACACCGCGAAGAGAATGTGATGCAAAGGAAAGGTACACAACTTCTGTGCTGGGATTAATGAAAAAAGTACCTTTCTGATCGTTGTTGTAATTACATAAATAAATCAATAAAAGGAAGTTTTATTACAATTGTCTAATTTTAAACGTAATACGACTTATAATACTGATTGTCTAAGTCGTATTACGTTCATAAATTTTATTAATTTCATCCAAGAGAGTAGACTGCTTGGTCGTTTATTGTAATAAATACCAAAACGACAACACAAGATATTATTGCTACACTTTTTTCAATAGATACTACGATTTATACCTACTTTTTCGTAGTGATACGACTTACACAACGTTACCCTACTCAGTTCGGGAACACTAATTTAAAAGTATATACAAAACCTCAATTAAAATAGTAACTAATTTGGTTGAAATCAAGCTAACAATTCATTAAATAAAATATCTGAAAAAATTCATACCATAATACATTTAGAGTGTTTTCGAAGAGAGAGAAGTAGGAGCATGGTAGCTAAGGTCAAAAACTACCGTTCCCCCCCCCCCCCGTGCTTCAACCATGGAGGTAGGAAGTAAGATGCAGTTGCCCTAAACAAGTTGCTCCCGTACCTTGCCAACACCTTCTTAAAGAATTAAGAATTTAAGAAGGTGTTGACCCTGCTCTCAAGCACCGGCGATCCCTACGTGGTGACCAAAACATTGAGTCATTTACCATTGAGTTCAATGGGATTTGACGCGTTCGGATGTAAATATTTTGTAATTACGTCGTAAATGTACATATAAATGTATATATTTTCTTTTTCTACAACACTTCTGAGTCCTAAGTATATGAAAACAACATATTTTTAAACAACATTTCATTCTGAACGGAATTAAATGCTATACTTTTTACAGGACAGTTTTCTCAGAATGGTTTAATTTGAATGAAATATTTTCACAAGTTTTCGGAATTAAATGCTATACTTTTTATAGGACAGTTTTCTCAATGGTTTAATTTGAATGAAATATTTTCACAAGTTTTCGTTAATTACATTAGAAAAAAAAATTAAGGTAATTCGATTTTATTCGGTTAAGGTACAAAAATTGAGATCAAAGTGTATTGTATTATTAATATTAAAATTATGCATTATTTCTTTTCTATTTATAGAACTTCTTCCTAAAATACTTTCTTAAATATGACATGATTTTTTGGCTTCTGAGGCATCTTTTAAATCGAAAAATGTAAGTCAATTTATAATTAATGCTCTATTCGGTTAATTTTAAATTAGAGAATTATTAGGAATTTGCGAAATACTTTAAATAGTACTTGACTTTCTTTGAACATTTCTGAAAGGAAATAAAATAAGTTTTTTTTTTAAGTATTATTTAAAACTTGTAACTGAGTTATTATAAAATGTAAGGGGAATAATTCTTTTAATTATACTTATCAGATTTTTTTTTACCCTTCATTTCAACAATACATATTACAAAACTCTTTATTACTTTCTTAAGTGCGCATCTCATAGCATTTGCTTTAAAATACCTTTTAACAGATTGCTTTCTAATACGAACAATTCTTGCTTAAGTAGTTTTATAACGTATTTGTCAACAGGATTTCAATTTATGTTCACAATTCAATATTAAGGTTATATATTTAGATAACATTTATAATCATTATAAATTAGATACATTTAATAATTAGATTTCTTCACAGTACTTTCACAGTTGTTTATAAGTGAATTCTTCATTTCAAATACATTTATAAATAATTTAATGAATATTTATGTATTTTGTCAAAGGCAGATACATGCTTTTTGCAATAATATGCAATATATGGATGTGAAAAAAATTTGTTTTTATTAAAAACATTTTGGCGTTTGGAAAATAAAATAAAAGTAGCGAATACTCTATCAAGGGTCTCGAAAGACGTATACAATTTTTAATGTACCGTAAGGTACTTTTCATTCTTTAAGCATAACATTTTTCTTAAAATCTATATTTTTGTAGTTCAACAGCTTAGAATTTTATGAAACAAATTCATAATCAAAATCGCGCTGTTGTTAGTTATCAAAAAATAACCAAGATGTGATTTTTGCGTAAATGTCACTAAACTATACAAATTGCTATTATCCATCACACTATGAATGTTTCTTTCATGCGAAAGTGTCCCTTTTTCGATTTGTATGGAACTGTCGTGTGTCGAAATACTATCAGAACCGTGTCAAGCGAGCTTCTGAATGTAAACAAAGAACACCCCTTCTGGTGACCCAAGCTTCAAAGTACTGCTTCACTTCTAGTGCCGAACAACGACTTCATCGAACAGTATATACTATCTCGTTGGTGCCGACTGGCCCCTCCTTCCTTTCCTACCTCCATGGCTTCAACAGCGCGCATCTTTTGACGGATTGCACAGGATAGTAATTTGCGAACTTCCGTTGACACCAAATACAGTGAAACCTTGGTTCACGAATTTAATTCGCTACTGGAAGCTCCTTCTTAATATCCAAATATTCATAAGCCAAAGCTATTTTAACCCTTATGTACAATGGATAAAATTTTTGAACAGCGTCTTGTGCACAAGTTTATAACATTGGGAGTCACTAACAGGTGATAATTTTACTGTTAACACGAAATAATTTTGCTGTTGATGGGTGGACGATGTTAAGTAGTCGTGACCACTTACAGGCGCATATTTTGAAGGGCTTGACACTGAGGAGTTTGCCATCTATGATATTGAGTTTCTAGACTTGGAAATTGACTATTAAGACGTGCAACAGTAATACATGCTAGAAAACTTGGTTTAGAAAGAGACAAAACTATGATTAGCAAAACATTGCTATTTACAAAACTGGTCCCATCTTCAAGAAAACTTGTTAAAGGCATTTTTAATTAGTGAATAAAATTCCAATCGCCTCAGTTAGGGAATATTTGATTTTGATTTGATCATGTGATTATGCCCAAAGTAATCGAGGACTATGAGGGAAGGAATGCCTTCATGGATCACTTTTTTGGAAGAAACTCGCTAGTATACTCATTACTTACTGGAAAAGCCACAAGAACGTCCATACAGCCAACATGTTCGCCGGGATTCAAACCACGGATCGAACCACCCAGTGTTCAGCAACTTTACCGCTCGGCGGTTGGTGGGCGTTACGGAATAACCAAGCTGTCTGTTTTCCTTTATTCAGAATTTTTTCAAACAAAATTACGCTTTTAAATTTTAAAAATAGAACATTTTGTTTCTCGCATTTCTTTCAAACTGATAAGTTTTCAAAGTTCATTTCTAAATAAAGATCAGTCAGAAATGAAAGAGTTAAGCTAAATGTAAAACCTAATAATCAATGAAATGAAATAAATTCTTGTAAATGCGTTTTCTTTCTTTAAGTATTCAAGGTTTGGCCCAAAGCTCACCCTTTAATATGTTTAACTTTTTAATATGTACTAAATATCTAGTAAAAACGTATTCTAGCTTTTGGAATTTTTTATATGAAGAATTCATAATTGAAAGTAATAAAAATACATTTTAAATGTTAACAAAATTTATTAACGTAACAAAAATGTTTTGCAGTTTATGGCCAAAGATTGATGTCTAGATCTGTGCCTTGAAGAATGGTACTGCAAGGTAACTTCGGATTATGTGCGCTGAAAAGGAAAACATCAGAATTAAGAATAATTCGATATTAACAGTTTGAAAATATTTTAATTATTATTCGTAAAAACTGAACTGTGACGTGCCTCCTAGAATTTCGATCAATATCAAATATTTTTATAGTTATGGCTTAATAGAAGGCAAACTAATCTCTTTAATAAATAGTCTTTCAATATTCCTTTGAAATTAAATCTTCTCTTGAATTCGATATAATCCAGTATACCATCCAAAGAATCACACCAGTTTCGCTTTTAACACTAATTACTCATGCAGTTCATAACAAGTCATGTTCTTACTTGGGATATTAATACATATATAATGTACAATGTAACACAGAAACAATCCATATTAGGAGGCAAATATTTAATCTACAATCCACTACAAAGCAAGTAACCAATATTGAAATTAAAGTTCCAGAATTTTTAAATGTTCTTTGTTTTAAATGTTCTTTATATGACAGCCCCGTTTATAAGCCGACAAAATGCAGACTAGAGAAAAGGTTCGAACAGTCGAATAATCCTTCGTTTAATTAAGACACAATAACACGCCGAATAAATACTTTGGTAAATAATAAATAATTTTGTAAATATAACGCTGATTTTTGTTGTTTGACTTCTGAATTAGTAATCCTTCGTTTGTTCAAAGATTTACGCACATTAAGCTCTGTATTAAGTATTCTGAAAGATTATTAAAATGCCGAGATTAATGATCAGCCAACTATTTTAATATTAAAACATTCATTTTTTAAACTAGCAAATTTAAAAATGAAAATTTATAGGCCTCGTATAATATGCTTATAGAAATTATTCGTAGTAGTAATTTTTAAATATTCGCAAGATTTAAAAATGTTTTGCTCATAAATTTTAGTTTACCATCTAAAATATTTCGTATTTAGAACGGTTCTTTTAAGTTATTAATAATAATCGGTTATTCCAAACACTTGTTTACTTCAAAAATTTTCAATTCTTATAAGAGATTCTGCGCCACTTGCAGATTGGGCGCGCACAAGAAACTTTTTTTAAAATTTAAATAAATGTGCAAGTGTTCGCATTGGATAAAGTTCTTAAAATCGTAATTTAGGTGCTAATTAAATCTGAACCCAGGCAAATGTCTAAAGCGTTAGTCTTTGGTGACATACAGTTTCTCAGCTACTGGTGTTAAGCAAAGGACACTGGTGTGGAACCGATGAAGTGAAATCAAGAAACTTTTGTACAGTAAATCTTATACTATCCGGAAATGCTGGATTTGAAAATTCCAGATACTGAAGCGGATAAAAATGCATTTCACGACAGAAGAGCTAAATGAATAGAAAACTGAATTTCTGATCTAAAATTTTAGATTATTTGAATATGAAAAAACGCACGAGAGATAAGAAGGGGAGAGAAATGCCTTCGGTGAAAACTTTTAATGAGAAATTGTCTCATATTCAAGCTACAAATGGAAAAAATTAACCGCGCAGCCAACCCATTCGTGTGGGCTCGAACTACCAGTATTCAGCTGTCTTAACCATTCTGTCACTGATGTCTAGAATTATAAAAACAGTCATCGTATGTTATTAGCCTAAGTATCCAAACCAACATTTGGTGCAATATAAGATTTAAAAAAATGGATCTAAGATATAAAAACATCATATTTTCTTATTCACATGTTTAAATATATGGAAGAAAAATATCGTATCCGATTACGAAATCCAGTCGACCATGCAAACTTAGATCGCGGAAAACTTGTGCCTATCACTGCGTCATAAGTCTGAAAGAACTGTTTTCTTTATTTAGATAGATATTCAAAAGATGTAAGGTGTACGTACAGCATATAAAAATCTTACATCACTTTGCCATAATTTTTCATGTTGCATTGCCATTGTTTATCCTTTTTCAAATGAAGTCACTAAAGTGGCTTTATCGAGAATCAACAAGGTTTACATAAAACCAGGGAGATGACCTTTTGATTATCATTTTGACGTCAGATGTACCCATTACTGGTAATGAATCTAATTATTTTGCACAGGTCTTGTTCGTAGTCCTGTACGCGCTTTGTGAGTCATTTGCTTAGTTTTCGACTAAAAAATATGTATTGAAATATTTCGGTTACTTCAGCTTTCCGTTTATCTGAATGGAGGATAGTTGGGCTTTTACTGCATTTAAATGAAGCACTATCATTCTGTTAATGCTTTTGGTGAGTGGTGACCGATATGTTACTGTAATTTGGGACAGCCCGTAGCTTTCCAATCTTGGCGATAGTTTTAGAATTTTTAATTAAAATTGATCATGCACGTTTTTTCCGGTCAAAGCTATTGGTCACTGAAGACCTAGATCACCAGTGTGGGGCATGGTAGTAAATTTATTTTTAAAATAAAATTCAAGGGACGTTAAGACCAGTTTTTACCATTCAGCCATTGGTGGATCTTAAGTAAAAGTATTTCGTGCCTTAGAATTCAGCAATACGAAACCTAAATTCGAGCAAAACTGTCGATCAAGCTCCGCGAGATGACTTAGAAAGAAAATCTTCAACTATTGAAGGAAGTTAAAAGTATAGACTATATTCAAAGGGGAAAGCATCACGTCCCTGAAGAACAAGTCGATCTTATTTACAGATCTTTCCAACGAATTCGAAGAAGTCAACAAGGAGTTGGTTTCATTTAGTTTATTGGATTATGGCAAAGCACGTTAGGGTTATCCCCAAAAGGCATTACTCTTTTTTTTACATCTTTAACATCTTTTGCCAAGAAATGCCTTCGTGGAGGATTTTCTAAGGGAAACTGGCTTGTATCAACGTTACACATGGGGAGAATCAAAACCGCCCATGCAGCGAACCTATTTGTCTGAAATGTTACCCAGGTCGAACTACTAGTGTTCAGAGACTCAGCCGCTGGTAGGCTTTATCAATAAAAAGAACGTATCTTGAATATACACCATAATCCTAATTGTTCTTAATTTTTGCAAGAGTCAGCTGTAGATGTCTGCTAATCTTTTTAATAGGTCTTTTCCCGGTATCATTTTAGAATGTCCATTAAAATAATATATAATACCAAGCAGTAAAATAAATCATTAGCCATCTTTGAAAGACAATGCAGAAAGGAACCAAAAACGTATTGTCGTAAGCTATGAAATCGCAAGTTGCAAATTTGGTCTTCTTTGGAGGGTATCACAATATATATATATATATATATATATATATATATATATATATGAATGAATGTTCTCGTTTTAAAAATTGAGGGTGTTTACTTAGGGAAATAAACTGTTTCAGTTACCAAAATCAATGAGATAATTTATATTTGAGTTCGAATACAAAGAGGTTATTCGAAATGTTAGACATAACTTTAATGGAAATGATAGTTACGGATAACTGTATTTGATCTGTAAATGAAACCGTAAATACCACATAAGTTAAAAGGAAAGCTATAGCGAATATTTTCTTTTAAATCGCTTATCTACTTTTATAGCAATGAATTATTTGGACTACAAAAGCTCGTAAGTGCAATACATACAACGCCATATTCCAGCCACTTAAATATCGCTTTCTTTCGAGTTATTGAAGGTAACTGAGTAGTCGCAAAACGCAGCAAAATAAGGTGGGCGGTTTTTTTTTTTTTTTTTTTTTTTTTTTTTTTTTACACAGTGAACAAACAGATCAAATGAATGTATCCGAATAACAGCTATCAATATCAATCACATGGTTTATGTCATAACACTTCATACTGCGAAACTTAACTCACCAATAAAAGCGAACTTGCATCTTAAAACTTAACGATTGCTAATTTAGTCGCCGCATGCTACTGTAACATAGTTATTTCTCGATTTTAATAAGTTTCCTCGCAGCAAATCTATTGGTCAGCTGTACTGAATTTAAAAATATCCGACCAATATTTTAAATTTAATTCACAAAGTTTCCTTAGTATTAGTAAATATTAAAAATAAGAAAGTTAAAACTTGCCTTTCTGTAATAAATGCCATTTGCTGAATTTCTTTTATATCTGAATTCCGGCACAAAAGAGAGGAAAAAGTGTTTTTCTGAATAGCTTTGATTTGATCTGTAAAGAACACAAAATATAATTCGATCCAAGTTTTGCAATAAAAAGCTAACAGAATTTTCTAAAGCACGATACAAAGGCGATAAGACCGACTGTTTACTGAAAAGAATTTAAGCAAAATCAGCATATAAACTTACCATGCGTGAATGCTCCTGGATGATTGGTATTTTCATACCAAAATCTGTCCCCAAACTTGAGATTTTTGAATTGATTGGCAACGATGCAGGTGAATGTTGGTCCTAAAATACCACCATTGACTGAAAACTCTGAAACTCCAGCAACAAATAGATCCACTTCATCCACGCCACCGGCGCTGCAAAAGTGAAGCGTTTGATTATCAGAATACCGTTGTCAGAGTTAATCTGAAGATATATTTAAGCAGATAAATATTATTTTACGAAATACTTCTTGAATAAGTATAAATAACTAACAGCATAAGAATATCATAAGCCTTCAAAATCAGAGTTCCAAATTATTAAGAATGTGCCGATATGACCTTTTTCTAAACAGCCTTTATTATCAATTTACGGTGTCTTGAAGGCAAACAGAAAAAAAATGAATGCATGAAAGTTTAATTCTGAAAACTTGTTCAGTTAAATAGTTATAGAAGAGTACTCTGGGTTTATCTGACTTGTTGGAAAAGATGTCTTCATGGAAGACTTTAGAAAAAATGTCTCCCATTTACATTACATACGGAAATTTTTAAATTCGTAAGCGAGAAGTTTATACATGAATCAAACTCAGCTGACAGTTTTTCACTACTTCAAATATACAGACGCTGTGTTCCGACGCTGAGTATGAATAACAGAATAATTAAAAAATATGTTGCAAAATATGTTAGGAACTATACAGCATATTTGACGAATGTGGCAACATACTTTATTATTCTTAATAATTGATCTTAAATTTACTTCCGGTTTTAAAACTTAAAAAGTACAGAATTTTATAAAAGAGACAAATTAATTAAAATTATTATATATTTAAATTTCTCTTTACGTTTTAATTCAAATTTCTGCCTAAAATGAGCAATGCTTTCAGGGAGGTCGTTTTTAGGAGAAGTAGCCTGTGTGCACGTTACATATGGAGAAAGCCACGAAAATCAATCATGAAGTGAGCCTTTTCGCGTGGAATCGAACCCAAAGCAAGTCGAACTACCAATATTCAGCACTCTATTCCTAATCTGATCAAAAGCAGTTTCCTTTATGTCATTTCTTCCGCTTTTGTAAGTGACGTCCGTATTGGGAACTCAATCTTACGGTAATGCGTAAAAAGCATAACCTTGTTTGTCCGCTGATCTTGGTTTTAGCTTCATTGTTACGCTAGCGTTGAAGACGAGATTCACAGGAAATAAAGCCGAGATGTTTTCTATATCATAAATTTTTAAATATTTCATGCAAATTTATTAGGAATATTCTGCGGAAATGTACCATGCATAAGGACATTAAGCTATGAAAATGAAAAACGCCCTATTTTTACAATCTAAGAACAAAGTTTTAAGCTTTTAATCGTCTTTCCATATACAACAAATGTGAGAAATAGATTCTGATATTCTTATTAAAGGTACGAGATCAATTTTGAAAACTTCTCAACAATTCTTGGAAGAAATAAAAGCAACTATTTATAATAAATTAACCTCTTCTTACCCGTATACTGTCTGAAGTCTTTCGATCACATAGCCAGGCATAGTGCTTCTCAAATCCCAGTAATCATTAGCCTTAGGAAGACCGCAGGTTTCGCGCCATTTGTTGTACGGTGGCAAGCCATGGTCCCGACCTCTTTGAACATTTATAGAAAATAAATCCAATCCTTCACCATTAGGCTGTTTTGCGAATAGGTGGTTCGTTACCTAAAAAGAAATAAAGGTACATATTCTCTCTTTAATCATGAAACTTACCAAGCAAATCAATTTAGCGCCAGTTATGGAAAAGCGTGACGTTAACAATTCACTCAACATATCCATTTTCGTTTGTTGCAATTATTAAGATTGATTCTCGTTAAGCCATGTTGTGGTTATGAACAAGGATAAAAATTAACTAGTGATGCATTTTGAAAAAGTAATTATTAAAATTTGGGACCTGTCTTCTACAAAACAGCAAGCAGTGGGTTATTTTCAAAATTATGATATCTTACAGTAAAAATAGTAGTGGGAACCATACGGTCACCTGAATATGGTCAACAAAATACTCGATCGGAAGAATCGCCTATGGGAAGTTTTTACTCAAAGCGTTCTAAACAGAGCTTTCGGTAAAATAGCAGGGCCTTGTAAAATGGTAGAAATTGACGAAGGCCTTTTTACGAAAAATAAAACTAAGGTCGAATACTAGATAGTTATTTATTAAACAAAAAGGCCTCAGCTTCTTCAGAATTCCGCAGGAACGATTGGCGCTACTTTGGCGGAATCTCCGCGCCAGCTTTGAAGGTAACCAACTTTCACTTTCGACAGGATAATAAAGTAGTAAAATCAGTTTCACTTTTCATGGTAAAATATTTCTCTGTAACCAACTTTTAACTGTCATGAAGAAACATTAGTACATTTTCATTAATAATTTAACTTATTGTGAGAAATTTGTGCATTCGTGCTAGTTTAGGCTAAAAGTTAATACTTGTGTTATGACCAATGCCTTGTGCTATGAGTAAGCAGCTCTTGAAAGAATAACTCTTCTGTGATGAAAACTTTCGTTTGAAAGCAGGTTCTAGATTATCTTTAATATCTTTTAAACGCTATATCAAAAAAATACTCAGTAAAAATACTTATCAATTCTTTGATTTATTTTACAAAGGTTTGGGTTTTTATTATTAATATGGCAAAGCAGGCAAAATCTATAAGACTACTGGGATTGATGCCTTTCTGGAAGACTTTCTAAAGCAAACTAGCACGAATACACGTAATAATACATAGGGGAAATCACCCACGTTGCCATAACACCGGTCAAACTTCCAGTTATCAACAACTGGACCACTAGTTTGAAGCAAAATAAATTTTTAATGTACTGTGATCGAAAAAAGTATTTGAATAAGTATTTAATAAAAATGATATTGCTAATAAACAATTTATTTTCACAAAGTTAACATTTTAACTCAGAAACGTTTGTTATAAAAGTTACAGTAACTTAAAATTTAAAGAATTTCGAAATTTGGGAAAGGAAAAGTAAACATAACGAAAATCTTAAACATTTATGCAGAAAATTAATATATTGGTGAAAAGGCCCTGGCTATCGATTGCAGCTTGTAATTTTGGCATAGACTCGACAAGTCTTTGTTAGATTGAATGAAAGATTTTCCATTCATTTGAAAGAATTATTTTTAAATTCTTGAAAATTTATGCTGTCTCGCATTTTGGTCTAAGAGGGCCACAAAGTCTACACTGAGTTCACATCAGGAAACTGGGAGGGAGGCGATATGTGGAAATTTGTGCCAGAACCAATCTTTAGTCCCCCTCGTTGTCTAACTGGGCTGGAACCAGAGAGCATTCTGTAGACCTAATTTTAACGCTCTATATCAAATACGTTATCTCGCATAATGTCCACATATTTTACTTGCATTCAAATTATTAATGAAAGCCAATTTACCAAGTCTATTCCAATATATACATCCCAAACTATGTTTTCTCCTCCATGTTTTATTGCCGGAACCTCATTTTGAGGAATCAAAGCTTTTCACATTTTCTTAAACTTTTTGACGTCAGATTCAAATAAGTTACTTTTCATCACTGAATATTATGCAGTTCACTCACATAAAAGTAAACGGACAAATTGAAAGACCAAACGATGAAATAAAATGTGAAACGATAAATGTGTGTTTAGAAGGAGTAACTCTTCTTAAAGCCAGTTTACACTGGTTATCTTTTTCCTTTGAATTTAAGCAGAAAGAAATCTTTCCTTAATTTATATGTATTTTTTTAGCCCAAAGAGCTATTAGTCTCGAAACGGGATTTTGCTTCAAATCAAAATTTTTGCCACTAAATATTACCCCCTGTATTGTATTTAGAGAAATTAAATAATGAAGAATTTCTATGAATATATGCAAATGTCTCGCAGTGAACAGCGCTACCTAGAGCCATCCAATTTAGAAGAACGTAGTCCTCCACCATAACATAGGCGTCCAGAAGCCCGAACTTACGATTTATTTTATTCTCCATTTCATGTTTTGTAAAACTTCAACAAATTTTTGATTAACAAACTCAACGATTTCAAAGCGAGCAGTGGCAATACTCTACGTAATAAAATATTTCATCTCCAAAGCGTGAGACTGTCCATCGGAAATTCTAAAGATATGCTGTTTTTAAATATTTGATAAATAACACTCCTTTGGGCATAATATAAAATCTGAGAGATTTCACTTCTTTTTTGTCCAAACGAAACATTTTACTCGTAAAGTAACTCAAAATGAGAATATTATTTAACTTATTCAATGAAAAATATTTTGGCGATATTAATAACGAGATGCTATTTACCACTTACTTGCTTGGAGAACACGTTGTCCACTTTCTGACATTTTTGGTTAGTTTGTCCAGATAATAAAGCAGCAACAGGATCCTCTTGAGGTGAACAAAAATCGTCCATTGAAAAGTAGTCATTGCTAAGGGTATGACCATCATCTAAAAATTTGCCTTGCCTTTTTAGTTGTCCACCAATCATACTATGACCATATCTGAACGCTGCTGTGATGAATACATTGTAAAGCGTTGGATTAATGGAAGGATTGTACTCGTATTGTGGCGTAGGAACAGAAAGTTTTGTGTAGTCCATAAGAGATGTTCCCAAAACAATGGGCAGATATTCACTGTATAGAAGATATAAATATTTTAATATAGGAACGAAGCAATTTAAATATTCTTATAATTCAAAGTCCATGCGAAATATGCAACAGTTTACAATAAATTAGTAATAAATATATCGCAATATCTTAATTTCCCATCAGAAAAATCTCCTTTTACTTTTGCTTCTGTCTAGAAAAATTATCCAGTCTTTCACGCAAATGCAGAAACTATTTTTGGTTCAAACTTAAAATTTCAGCAGATTACTTAAGTATATGGTTGCTTTCTAATTTAGAAGTTTGTTGAAAAAAAAAAAAACCGTAAAAAATGACTACCAATGATATATTTTTCTTTGGCTTTAAATACAAAATAAAGTGTTTCACACATTCTAAAAAACAAGTCTCCAGAAACAAAACTTCGACTGAAACTCTTCATCGAAAAGTTGAAGGAATCAAGTTTTATCTCCGAAAGTTTAAATACTCATCTTTTCCTTTTTACCTTTACCTTTCCTTCAATTTTATTCATTATTATCCCAAATCTTCAGATCAGTCTAGTATTGTTTCCTTCAAAGTTCAAAACAGTTAAACTATCAGTCTGGGACAAAAGATGGAATTTTTTCTTCAACTGAATTACTATCGCTCTGTAATTAGTGATTTAAACTTTATAGAAACTAGTTTTTGTCTGTTAGATGGATGACAAGGCCAAAATATGAAATCTAAACAATTTTTAGCTTTAAGCCCGTGATCCCTTTCCCCAACTGACTATTCCATTATACAATTCAAATTTACTTTTATGCCCATTTCGCTTAGCAGAAGATAGTGCACGTTAGTGCTGAACTTAAATACTAATTATCAGAGACTAATTTTTGCCTGTTAGATGACATGGCCAAAAAATTTGAAATATAAACCCATTTTTAGCTTTAAGCACGTGATCCTTTTCCCGAACTGACGAATCCAATATACAATTCAAATTTACTTTTATGCTCATTTCTCTTCGCAGAAGATATTTCATATTAGAGCAGAACTTAAATGCATAATTGTTTCTAAATCTCTTCCAGATGAACTGATTAACATGGACTACAATTGAGGTTAGGTTTGAAAATTAGGCAAAACAGGCGTAGATTTTAAACAAAACTATCAATTTCGGAAACTATCAAAGCAGATCCCGCTCCTCCAGCAGCGGAACAATTTTGCATTTGAAGAGGGACTTGTATCCGAAATCAATAGAGTTCTGTTTAAAATTTACTCGAGATTTCCCTTCGTAAATATCTGATCCGAGAACTTCATTCTCTTTGCTTAGATGTTAAATTATTTTCTAACAGAATTTTACATTATACATAAAATTTCACACATTGAAAATCATTTGTCGTAATATTCAAATCTTGGCAATCTTATTCCTATTCGTGATTAAAGTACTATTCTGTTAACGGGCAGCTAGTTGCTAAATATGCGCCAAAGAGCCAGATGTGGTAGCCTGTTTGTATGACGTCATGAATTTTGTGCGTGATAATAAAGCAGTAGGCGATGCCAGTTTCGTGCAAATCCGTTATTTTTTAAGCTAAAACTGATTTATGTGTAAATGAGGGTAACTTCCGTTTGACATCGCTCTCACTAACATGCGTATCATACAATGATACATAATTTATTACAAGTTCATTTTTTTCATTAAGCTTTACGTATCGTTAGGTTACTGACACCTTGTTTGACTTCTCGCCAATGTATACGTTTGGCGCCAAGTAGCGTCCCATTAACAAAAGAGTATAGTAAATAATGTTACAGTATTATATTAGCAACTAATATGAAACAGATTTTAAAATTGTTTTAGACATCCAAACTTACTTGTATGTGATATGCTGCAACAAGGCCCCAACAATTTTACGAACCACGTAGAAGAGTGTTTCTTCGGGCCATCTGCGCACTCGTAAAACATCTACCAAACGATTATGCTCCCTCACCCATAAGGTATGCAGTGCACTGAGAACTGGATTCTCATTAGCTCTTTTTTCACCTAAAATGTTATTTTAAAGCAAGTTTTTGTAGAAATCAGAAAAGAATCGAATTTAGCATATCGCAGCTACAGCTTCGAACTTCGATGAGTTCGTAATTGAAAACACTACACAAGCACTTAGCAATGTTACCATTTAATCAGAGAATTCTCAGACTCACCTGCTAGAAAGCATCTTTTATCGCAGATATTTTTGGCTGACTTGCAAGTTTTGTTTTTTCGAGCCATGTAACTCCACCCCGTTGAAACATCCGCTATCAGTTTCGCTGAAAACATAGCATAAGATATACCTCCATATTGTGTGGAACTCGGGATTTAGTTTCGAGCCTTTGTTTACTTACCACTTTGTCCTCCGTCTTCCCGTAATTTGCGCATTTCTTCTTCTGTGGTACCATAAACTAACGAAGCATCGATGAAAGAAGTCAATTGATTCATTTGTTCTCGAGGTAGACCTGTAAAATCAGATTCTTAACTTCAATATTTAATAGAATTAAAACATGCACTGAATTTCTATATTCCACATAGCAGTAATTATTTTTTTCTATGAATGATAAAGATTTCTTAAGTTTGATATTTCTGGATCTTCAGAATTTAATTACTACTTAGACTCGGAAGGCTCAGGTCTACAGTCTTATAGCACTTCTTGGCAACAACGAGGCCACCATTTGGAGTTGGGTTATAATAACGCTGAGTGCTTTCCATTGAATAATGAATAATGGTTATAGTCGTAATTAAGGATATGGAAGTAAGTTATGGTAGTGTTCTACCTTTCAGATGCATCTGCATAAATGGTAAAATGATGGAAAATTATGTAAATCAGTTGCTACGAATACCTTTACCTCGGAGAAGTTGTTGTCGTTTTAAATGTCCAAATATTAAAAGTGACAGACGATATTTTAAAATTTCATGTTTGCTAAGCCAAGATCATGACTTCATTCAAGAGTTAGTTTTTAAGGAATGTCATGATCACAGTGAAGATGAGAGTAGCAAAACTCATAATCCTGAAGAACCCACACAGATGACAATTTGGTACTTTTCCGTTTTGCCGGTGCAAGCGATAAAGTCGCCAGTAATGGTACAACCGATGCAAACGAAATATCATCGCTGGTAACCTTTAACTTCTACATTTTCAAAACAAGTCGCAGCCATTTCTTATCAGATTGATTGTTTCTTTCAATACTGACATACAATTACATAGAATTTTTACCAGATAGCTCAATTTTATGCCCTAAGGCTATTCGCGGGCGGTAATTAAGTCAATTAGGATGCAATAACACGACTCGCCCGATAGCGAAAATATAGAAAAAGCAAAGTCAAGGGTTAAATTCATCAATTCTAATGAGAATGCACTAGCGAAGTAAAGCACTGCGGTTTTAATTTTTGAGTAAGCTATTCGTACGAACTGAAATAATTCGTGCATTTAAACTTGTATTTCAAATCAAGATTTAACTTGAAATTAATGTAGATAATTACTGAGAGAATTAGATTTTTGTTTTCGTAGTTTACGTGAGATGAGATGACTTGGGGTTACGTGATATGAACCGGCGAATCAGGATGTTGTACGATGAAAGCATAATAAATTCTTAAATTCATGTCTTTTCACAAATTTATTGTCTTTATTTATTGGCTTTTTTACAAAATTTTAAACGACATTAAAATATTTATCGCTTCAAAATAAAAAAAATTCTTAGTACTAAAATTTGTCAACATTTTATGTGTATACTGTGTTTTCGCCAATAAAGTCTAGTTGCCGAGATTTGCGCCGGCGAAACGGAAAAGTACCGACAGTTATGATATAAATCGTGATGTGTTCGAATATTCGAAGTTGTTTGATGAAGATGGGGGAACTTACTCTTTGGATTTCTGTAGCTCTTCCTTTAATTCTGTTTACTTCAATTAGGCCCTTCAAATCACCCTATAACTGTGCAATTAAATCTTGCAATTCGAACAGCTACAGCATGTTAAATTACTGTTACTTCTAATACATACATTTATTCAATCATAATGAAAAATACCAGTCGGACCTTTCGTGTTAAAATGCTAACATTGAGGAGAACACCATGTCATATTTTGCCCTTCATAAAACATAAATACACAACAGATGTGGCTTCCTCAAACTGTTGTGCCCCCAGCTTCTTTAATAAGGCTTTGTAGATCTATTGAAATCGTATGTCGCTGGATGCTGTTCAGGGAAATAACGGTTAAATATAAAGTGCATAGATCCGCATGTACGCGAACTCATGTATGGTGTGGACTTGCGCAAGTTGGCTGTTGTCCCGCGGGTGGTGTACTCGAATATGCGCCAAAGGCACAGCGATCTTACTAAATGTTGAAAATTGAGGATGCGGATAATCGGAAAGTACCAATTTAAACTTTAAAACCATCAAGAGACTAAGCAGCGCGAAGATTCTGGAAACAACATTCCGAATATTTGAGTTTTCAGTAAACCTAATTGAAACATACCCAGTTGAAGTGGTTGACAAGAAATTGGGCTGTAGGTATAAGCGACTGACCGAACTACGTTCATACAGTGTCCTTGAGAATAAAACCCATCACGATAATTCATCACTATTGGAATGCAATCTGGATGGGTCGTTAGTATTTCGCAGCAATCAAGCGCTGAAAGAAAATGGCAAAAGTTAGTAACGAAATCCTTTTATTCGTCATTAAATTTACAAAATTCATATGTACTAGAAACAATAATATGAAATTAGAAACTGTTTTTATTTGGTTTTTCGATAATTCATTTTATAATTTAGATTTTTTCTATTGGATTTAGTCCCATTTTGATTCGATTTCTACTATGATTAATATTTATATTAAAACACAGCTTAGAAAATTCTATTTATGAATCAATTATACATCCTAGTTGAGCAAACTACCTATTCATGTTAACTATATAAAAAGTAAGTTTTGTATAATAATTAAGTTCATCAAAATGATTAAAAAATTGGTGATTCGACGATTACCAAACATTTAGCTTTTAAGCTGCGATTCCCAACAGGTGTATTGTGAAGCAAGAAGCTAAATATTCAAATCTAAGAATGTTTAAAATATTGCTTTTGTTTTCAATACAATTACTTATTCAAATCAATATTTTATACTATAAAATTAATGAAATCTATGTATTTATATTTTTGAACTCCAGTCCAGTTCCCTGGAGAAACTGTTTCGAGCCCATATCGAAACTGCCGAAACAATTGCCATCCGCTCAGTATAAGGCTGAAAGCAATACGACTAACTGTGCTCGACTGAAAAATGGTTAATCTCATGAATGAAATCCACCGGAACTTCGTTAAAACTTAATACAGTAATAAATTAAGGAAGGAAACCGATAAGAAACCCCTTACTATATCTTTAAAATGATTTGCATGTTAAGCTATCAAAATACGACTCCGTTTTAAATTCTGTGAAAAGTATTTTGAAAAATCAAATTTCAAATCAGTTGATGTGTTATGTATGTAAAGATAAAAAACCTTAACCACTTTCTGTTGGTTCATGAAATGGCTGTTCGGTCATGTAATTAAAAGACTGGAAATAACAGTCTTGAAAATGACCTCATCTGCTCTTCTGCTTTGAATTTTAAAATCCAATTTCTTTACTTTCACAAACTTTTTCAAAAGTGGAAAGAAATATTTGTTAAAAGAAACATGTCCTATATTAAGTAGCACCACTGAGTAACAATGACAAACCGCTAGGCTTTATCTGCAAGTTTACTGGATATCATGTTTATAAAAATATTAAAATATTCTGTTTAAGTTTTAGCTTTTTAATAGATTTAGAATAACCAGTACATTACCTCACAGAATATATATTTTTGCCCTTCAGAGAATTAAGTAAAATAATGCTGAGTTTCTTTTAAGTTACGCTAACCAGTTACTAAAGTACTATTCGTAGTAGTCTATCATAACTGTCTAAACTCAAAACAATGCTATGATTTACTACCACAAAAGTCGGAAGCATATCGAGTAAAATATACCAAAGATCATATTTAAGTACCTTCCAATATGTGAGCTTTGGTACCAGAAAAAGATTCCCTTAACACAGAAAACTAATTTTGATAATTATTTAAATACTACCTTACTTCGCATACTTTGTGTAGATCATATGCTTAATTATACTTCAAATTTAGATTTCTTAAAGATTTTTAGAAAGGTTATTTTATTTAATAGGTGTACATTCTCAAGCAAATAACATTCTTACGTTCATCTTTAAATTCATGGCCATTCCATATCTTCAGCATTACTGTCGGTGTCAGAGTCATATCATGAGCGATCATCTGTCCCCAAGCCATAAGCAGATTCGTGTAGTGCGGATATTCAGTTTCCGTAGTTTGCTGGAACTGGCTTGCGACCCATTGATACACTAATCGAGGGTTGGGTAAAGGATGACCATCTGCTCGTTGTCTAGGCTCATCTATACCTGTCGAAAATAGAAATATTTATTACTTCAACTATTGCAATCGCAGCAAACCGAGTAGTGATAGTATAAACATGGTCTCTCTGTTATCACATACATATCAGAAATAAAGAACAATTGTCGCGCATTTCTGTGACGAAGGCGTATCGGGGATCAAGCTCATGGGAGACTTTCAGCACAATACGGAGTCATGGTCATGTAAATTACTCGTTGTAGGCTTTGTTTATGAGTTAAGCAATGAAAAATAGCAAAATTATGTTTGCAGAAGACCTTGAGTGTTAATTAAGTGGAAACTTTACTTTGAAAATTATGTTGCAAACTTGAGTATTCACAACTCGAGTTCTTCACCAAAGGCTTTTTTGTTCAATTAACTTGTTCATGAAGTGAGGCTTTTGTGACCCGAAGTTCCACTGTACAGTAGATTTTAGTTTCTAACCACAACATTTTAGTGATATCAGAACTGAGTTAAAGACAAAAATTGGCACTTTAATAACTATAATTGACAACATACCATCGGCATAGGCGGGAGGCAGCCACCGTTGATATGGTTCATCTGCTTTACCCCAACAAGGATGCTGGAGATTATTGCAGGATCCATCCAAGGTTCTGTAATATTGAGTTGCGGGATGACACGTTATATTGTTCAGTGGCAGAATTGAAATTCCTTGTTGACTAAGCAATCTGTCCACGTCTTCCGAACTTAAAGTTTGTAGAAAGGACAGCTTTTCCCAAATACTGGGCGACCTCTTGTCCGGAAGTTTAGAACGAGGAGAGAAACTAAAAAAATATCAGAAATAATAATTCAGATTATACATCATGTTCACAAAAGCCCTCTCACAGTCTTTATTTTAGCAACCGTTAGCTGTAGACATTGTTCCATTAGCTAATGTGTTTTTATTCAAGCAGGTATTCATATTTTGTCATTTTAAAGAAATTACTTCTATTGCGAAATCCAATTTCTATACGTTCTCCAAGTTCTTATATTTAAGAAAACATTTCACTCATTATTAAAACCAAAAAGTGGCTATCTTATAAGGAAAACTGTTTGAGATAATTTTGTAGCAGCAAATAATTGCATTAATTTTTGCAGCAACTGGTATGCGTAAAGAATTTTCACACAAACAATTTTTAAGTTTTCAAACGCTGTAAATACATTAATATTTTCGTGCAGTTTTATTACTTTAGAACCATTATCTGATAATCATACAAATATTCCTATAAATAAAATATTTTTAGTTTATGCAAATAAAGTTGCGAGTTATCTATGTATTTTCTAGAGCACTATTTCTATACGATTTTGTGAATAAGATATCTTTTTCAAAAAAAATGTTGGTCAGTACTTTTCAAGATAATCAGCAGAAATATCCGTCACTTAACATCAGAAACAGATATTTTATGTGTACGATATCCACTTTTAATAATGCGGATACATATATACTCAATACGATATCCATATTTAAATTATTTGGTATGTTTACGTTTCGCCGGCGCAGATCTCGCCAAGCAGACTTTATTGACGACAACATACAGTATACACAAAAAAAAAAAAAAAATGTTAACAAATGTTAGTTCTAAGAATTTTTTACTTTGAAGGTAAAGATTTTAATATCCTTTAAAATTTTGTAAAAAGCCAATAAATAAAGACAAAAATTTGTAAAAAGACATTAAGAATTTACTATGCTTTCATGGTTCAACATCCTGATTCGCCGGTTCATATCACGTGATCCCAAGTGATCTCATCTCGCGTAAATTACGCTACAAAAATCTAATTCTCTCAATAATAAAATACATTAATTTCAAGTTAAATCTTAATTTGGAAAACAAGTTTGAATGCAAGGATTATTTCAATTCGTACGAATAGCTTACTCAGAATTCTGTAAAACCGCAGTGCTCAATTAGAATTGATGAATTTAACCATGACTTTCCCTTTTCTATATTTTCGCCTTCGGGTGAGCGATGTGATTGCATTCTAATAGATTTAATTACCGCGAATGGCCTTAGGGCATAAAATTTAACTATCTGGTAAAAATTCTACGTAATTGCGTGCTAATAATATTGAAAGAAACAATCTGAAAAGAAAAGGCTGCGACTTGTTTTGAAAACAAGGCGTTAAAGGTTACCATCGAGGATATTCTGTTTGACATTAGTTGTACCATTATTGGCGACTATCGTCTGCGCCGGCAAAATGGCATTTCGAAATTATATTAAACATCAGATTTGCTTACATTCAACGCTTCACCTATTTTTCTCCCAAATTTTCCACAGTTCCAATAAAAAAATTGAGTTTCTTCAGGACAAAAGAAATCGCTGAATTTTTTATAGATATCTTAACTAAGTAAATCAACCTTAAATTTTATTTTTTGCAGGTGTAAAAGGCTATTGCAGGTGTTCTACCAGAATTGTTCCTTTATCTTGTTTGTTATCTCGATGAACCAATACTTTTTTTAAACAAGAATACTTTTTATATGCTTTACTTAATTTATCCTAATAGATTTAGTACGGAATTTAGACGAAGTATTTAGTTATGGAATACAATCTAGTTTTATCATTGAAAGTTTCCTGTGCCAGTATATAGTTTTAAGTCATTGTATTATTAGCCGAATTTGAAATTTCGCACTGTATTATTTGTCGTGTGTACACTATATACTTACAAAAATCCATATCTTCTGCGGAATTCGAATCCATTCGTACGTCAATCAGCATCATTAACCGCGAAATACACTGAAAACGAAGGAAGCTAATGTACTCTAACAGGGAAATGGGACTATTCGCCGTGGCCGTTTCTCAGTCAACACATATTTTTCTTTACACAACTGTATTATAAAGCTGATTTAAATTAATAACTGTTTAGTTTAATTATTTAATAAACATTTCATATAAAATTATATATAAAATGTTTTTGTGTACAATTTCATACAAATACACCGTTACTCATGACATATTAATTTTAAGAGACTAAGGCGATGACAAGATCCCAAAGTAATTCAGTTTTCCATTCAGATTTCATAAAAATACGAATTTCTTGCTTGCACGAGTGATTTCTCCGAATTAGCCGATTTTGACGACTCATGTAAATATAGTACCCGCATAATTTTAAAATCGATAATATGACTTCTCTTATATCAGAAGTCAGCCCAAGTTCTCTTTGATACTAACATAATTTTCAAACTAAATATGTGTAATTTCTTTATATCTCATACTTGTAAATAACTATACTTATTAAAATCAACCTTTATTAAGTATACAAAAGGTAAACAGAATTATTAAACTAAACAAATTTAATACGAGTATAAGACGGCAAGATAAAATACAGTCATGTAAAGAAACATTGGCTAATCTTTAGAATATGGTAACAGGTAGTTTGGCGACATTTTGGTAAGACGATAAAGGTTACTAGCTAGGACTTTAGCAATAATCTGAGAAGTACACAGTTCAAATCAGATTATTTTGTCTCAGAGAAATGAGAGATCATGAGACATGTAATGTGACATTTTCTGGAAAATTCCGATTGTGATTTTAGCTAATAAGCACTTAGAAAGAATTTCGCTGCTAAAGTGCAGAATCGCCCACTTATTTGTTTGGCGCATTTACAAGAGTAAGAAGAATTGGATTTTTTTTTTTTTTTTTTTTTTTACTTTTTAAGTGAAAATAGGTCGATGTGTACATAGATAAAGTCGAGTGTGCGCAATGCCATTTTTGTGCAATTCTGGGATGCTATTTTAAGCGAAAATAGGTCGACGTGTACATGGATACCGTGTATGTGGAATTTTTAAAAACGCGGCAAGCAGTTTGCGATTCTGCACTTTCTCCCAATTTCGCACCTAATCTTCGTCATGATTAATCATTTTTGTTCCATAAAAGTTCTAGTATAAGCGTAATTCGGCTATCAGATTGTTGGAAAAAATGTTGAGTAAAAAAAAAAAAAAAAAATGCCTTTACTTCGTGAAAACAAAATGGCGTCCAAAACAAAACTAGCAGGTTGCTGTAGCAGGGTTGGTCGCAAATTTTCACCAAAAAATAGCCAAGTTACCATAATGTAAAGATTCACCGAAAAATTTCTCGACAGCGAAACAAACGGCCAAGGTGAAATGGTGACGGCGAAAAGTCCCTAGACCACCTAACAGGCTTTGTGTATAGATACAAGCAGAAACTAAGCCAGTATCTATAGAAGCACAGGTAATTTGAGGTATTGCTGAATCTAACTCTAATAACTAATCTTAAATTTCTGCCTCAGTTTTGAGATAGAACACCCCGGGAACAGCCCCAGGATCAACAGTCTTTCTTCGCTTCTCAGGCCAGCTACTACGTATTATGCCATGAAGCGAACTCGTAACTCACAAAATGGTGCTAATCCACACTGCGTCAGTCACTGTTTCAATTTAAATCACAAACAATCACGATGTTAAGCATTGCAACCAACAATAGTTGCTATTATGCATATGTATGCGATAATAAAGCTAGCTTAATTTTTTACGGAAAGTTAGCATAAAATAGTTTAACGAGTTTCATTTCGAGATTCAGATTTAAAAGAGGAATCTAGCAATTGTAACAGAGAACGAGAACCAAACGCCTGCATATAAACTGATTATTTTACCTTAATATATAAACATGAACATTTTGGTCAGCAGAATTCTAACTCTAGGTTTTGCAAGAATTGGAACAGATTCTCGACACAGGGATTCCCCCTATGGATAAATTCATAGGTTCGTGCGGGCTTGTATTTACCTGTTTAGTGTTTGGTTTATGAATATGCAAAACCACTAGTATTCAAACTTTGGTATTATCAACATTTATAAATTAAACAAAACTTATTCAAAAACACATTAAATCTAAATTTAAATAAACGCATGCGTGTTTTTTGCGCTTTAGAAAGGCGAGAGGATGATTGTTTAGCAACGGTGAAAAAGGTACAATTGGCAAAATAGGCTGCGAACCTTATTAGAAGCTTTGTGCGTTCATCAGAGTTGGCTTAAATGAACAGACACTTGCGTTAGTAACAACCACCTCAGTAGAAGTGGCCAGATTTTCAGTATGTACCAAAGTCTGGCAACCACGCGCATAGCAATTCTTCAAGCAGCTATACTCATAACAACTCAGTTTAACAACGTCACTATTTTCGTACGCGTTCTTTTTGTTGTATTCCAAGTTTCAACAAATTTTATTAACAAATTGTGATTTCTTTTGCCTGAAACTCAATTTTAAAATCTATGCCGGTGAATCTTTACATTATGGTAACTTGGCAATTTTTTTGCGAAACTTTGGCGACCAACCCTACTACAGCAACCTGCTACTTTTTTTTGGACGCCATTTTGTTTACACGAAGTAAAGGCTTTTTTTTTTAACCTTTTCGCGACGGCGCACCTTTGTTTAAAACGCTCGTGCGGGACGGAAGAGAATCGAAGGCAGTCACCGTACAGGACGGAGGTTTTGCATCGTTAAGCCTAATTTTATAACAAAAATAAAAAACAGAAGTTTCGCTTCTAGCATCGTAATTTTTGGTATCATTTTAGATTATTACTTGAGCTCTTATATATGTTAAATTAGCCCTTAAAACATTTAATTTCTTTATTTTACATGGAAATATACTTAAAAAATTTGCTTATCTTCCATAATACTTTTCGGAAGAGCTATTCAAATTATTCTAAAGTTTTAATTGATAAAATCCATCAATAAAGTTTAAAATATTAAAAGAACACATAGACTATTTACGTAAGAAGTAACAAAATTTAAAATGAAAACGAGCGTGGTAAATTTCGAAGCACAGAGAAGTATCACCT